AAGCTCACACTTCGAACTTGGCGTCGGTCGGTGTCTTCCGACTACCGGGCTGAGGTCCGAAGAACGATGAACACGTCTGGTTGGATACACTTGTTGACATGGCGTTTGTGTTGTTTCTGTGTAGTGTCATTATATTACTTCTTTGGTTTTTATATCTTATTCTGTAATGTTTTGAATATAGGTCTTTTACATAGATTTGATCTTTTTGTATTGCGGCACATTAGCTGGTGTTTCCCCCCTTCAGCTAGCGTGTAATGATGATGTTGAAGGCCGGCTCTGATCTCAGGGGCTACTTACCTGTGAGCGTTTCTTTTGCATCTAAATTTCTGGCAGCCAACAGGGCTCAGATAAGGAAGAGCAAATTCAAACCCCGATAAAGTCATATATGGCTAGTGTTAACCAGGTTCCGAATCCATGCCCCTCAGTTACATGGAATACAAAAGAAGCCCGAGAAATCGGCAACACAGCATTTGCGTTCACTCATCATGAATAGAAACACAAAGCGCTACCTCGAGTGGGTTTGTTGCTACCGGATTTGAGCATCATCATCATCAACAGCAGTACATCAGCCATTTGAACTGATGCTTCGCTGCCATACAACCATGAGGACCTATGAAATAAAGAATAAGAAGAGGGAGAGAAGGGGGACTTACCTGAAAACCTTAATGCCCTAAGCAAACATTCAGGGTCAAGGCGCCTACACCTTGTGTTAACAACATTCCGTCACAAACAGCTGGCTATCGTGCAAAGATAAGGCGGCATCGGCGAGACAGCTTCCTTGCGGCTTTCACTGCCACGCGTCATAATCAGCCATTACCCCGCAGATAACTCAGCACCAAACACACTTTAAACAGACAATCCAATTAGGAGACGGCAGCAGACGCGCCACTGGTGTCGGTTGCGAGCCATGTCCTGTAAAGTCTCGAGCCAAGCACAAGGTGAGTCACGTGGGCTCCAACCCGGAAGGCGAGACGGACCAACGGCACCCAGTTTGGTCGTCAGTGACTTCATTTCCCGCTGCCAAGTCAACTTCTGTCCACCTCGAGCCTTGCGCCATCCGACACCTGGTAGACTGAACAAGGCCCTCCTAGGTAAGCGGTGACCAGGCATGCGTAGCACGTGCCCGAGCCAACGCAACTTATTCAGTGCTATCTGTTGTTCTAGCGAGCTAGCATGATCATCACCACCTAGTACTCGCCTACGCACATCATCGTTGCGGACACGCTGGTGCCATCCGACACCAGCAATGCTTCGCAAACAACGATGATCAAAGACTTGAAGGCGCCTCAGATCTTCAGACCGAAGGGGCCAAGTCTCACTACCATAAAGCAGAACGGCCCTCACTGTGGCCTTGTATACACGGCCTTTCAGACGGAGGGAAACTCCCTTCTGTCGCCAAAGATGACGCAGGTTCAAGAAGGCAGCTCTGGCCTTTGCAATGCGTGAGCTCACGTCAGTTTCTATGCGCCCATCATTGCTGATGCAGCTGCCAAGATAATTGAATTGATCAACCATCTCGAGTTCCTCGTTAGCAAGCGTCAAGGGGTCATCGAGTGGCTGGTGGTCCTGCAGCAACACTTTGCACTTTGAAGGTGCGAAGTGCATACCAAATAATGGGACCACTCTGGATAGACTATTCAGGGTTGATTGTGCCGCCTCAACATTGTCGAAAAGCAAGACGATATCGTCCGCATAATCTAGATCAACTAACCGTTCACCAGGCAGCACTTCAACACCTACATCGTGAGATTCCGCAAGGAAACGCTCCATGATAGAATCCACGACGAAATTGAACAAAAACGTGGAAATCGGACAACCCTGACGAACGCCACTTGTAGTCGAAAAGCTATCCGATAGGGCACCGTAGACCCTGACGCGGCCTCTAGTGTTCGAGTATAGAGCACGAAGGATGTTCACATATTTCGTGGGAACACCTTTTCGCGCAAGTATTTCGAACAGAATCGATCGATCGACTGAATCGAACGCACTCTTGAAATCGAGGAACAGACAAACTATCAGTCACTCGAACTACTAGACGATCGGCGTTCAGTCGAGTGAAGACGTAGTTCTGGGGGCAAACCCTATTCTCTGCACAGTCTTACCGTGCATAGCAGTGGAGGACAAGCTGCGCCGTTGTAACCAGTGTGCAATTGTGACAGTCCGCTGTCTACGTTGTCGCCTCATAAGAAAAAACTGTGAGTTTGGATCCAGTGCGATTCAGCGGATGTGCAGGGTTGGAGAGCTTAAGTGGGACAAGACAAAGGTCCAGTGCTTTTTCGGATTTGCGAAAGCAACCTGACTGAGTTTAGCTTTGATGAATTCCCTCACACCATGCGAAATACTCCCGCTCATGTTTAACAAAGCGATCTCAATCACCTTAAGCTTCAACAGATCTTAGTCGTAATTGTAATGTTTTCGTCCCTGCTGCTCACAAGTTACCCTGCACAGCATAGTCCGGTAAAGCACCAGACGCGTTTCGCCCCAGTAGGGCTCGTCAGTGTTGCGCATTCCCTCGGTCCTCTACTGCAGATCGAACTCATGATCGCTAGAGGTAGATACCAACTAACCAGCAGCTTAAGCCACTGAGCCATGAGAGATGTTGTCTGGGCTACATAATTTGCAAACTAACTAGGATAGAGCACCACCTACCTTCCACTACCACGCAGATTACTACCTTAGCAGATGACAATGGCTAGCCTCCAAAGGTCATGGCTTTCTCTCACTAGACGCTAAGTCCATAGCATTTGAAACTGGGAGAGGTTGCATTTTATGTCACTAATGAGTAGAAGGATTTTTGTAAAGGTAATCGTATTGTTTTTGTCCCAGCTGCTCACAAGTTACATAGCACAGAGTCTAGTCCGGAAAAGCACTAGACACGTTTCGCCCTATTGGGGCTCGTGTCGGTGGTGCGTATTCCCTCGGTCTCCTCTACTGGGGACCGCACACGCTGGTTGTGGCACATGCTGCTTTGTCATTTCTACAACCATCAGTGTGCTCGTTCCGACGAGCTGAGCGGGTATGAGTGTTACGTAAACAAATCTTCACTCACAGCGGATGATCACCTAAAAAACTCCCATGCAATGTATCAAGTCCATTAGTTCGCGGAGTATACTCTGGGATCACATGTTCCAATTGGCAGCCCATCGATTAGTGGTGAAAGATGGGAGAAGTTAACCGAGAGAATGAGTCTCCTCATCGGTGCATGCCGCATCTCTGGATGGTGATGTCGGGGTCGATCACAGCAAAATGCAGAGGTCATGTCGGACATGACAATCCCGAAACGAAGTGCGCCTTCATATTCGGTTCCTTGCGTTCAAGTGTCTGTCAACTTCACCGTGCAAAAGTGACTTAGGGTGGATTTGGCCCACCGCACTGGCTGGCTTGGCGAACAATCTTCTCATGGTGCCAGCTGGGTGGTTCGGGATTTTCCCGCTCCAGAGAATGGCTCGGCGGCAGTGTTCCAGGACGTGATGGGTTTTCGCCTGGCAAGACTTCTCCCTGCAAAAAGCCACATATGTCCGTTTAACAACACTGTGACGTGGCGGATGTGACTCGCCACTAAATAAAGTCACTGCGCCCTGCTTCATCCTGGCGAAGCATTGTATTCCAGCAAGTTTATGCAATAATTATGGGGAGCATTGGGGCCCCTGTTTGACAAACGAAAGGCGTATGAATCGAGAACCAGTCACCGGCTCCCTGAATTCGCTCCGCTGCCTAGCGGGCAGGCTATTCGGCCAAAGACTCAGGGTGGTGTCCCCTAAGTCAACACCCTACTTCGGCTGGGGCAACCGGGTAGTATCTCGCCCTCTGACGAAACCATGGATTCCAATGTGTTGTGTTGTGTTTCCTTCTACGATTTCTGTACCTGCTTATAAGACCCATGGTTTCTGATGGCTCTATGTCTATTTGGAGACGGTTACAAAAATCCGAAATGATTGGGTCATAAGTGTAGGTGAACCGAACGCAGTCCCGAGTGACAAAATAGATACTTCCAACACTACTGTGATTACCCCGATCGGGGATCCATCAGCGCGGCCTACGGCTAGACCAAGGGTTCATGATCAGACGAGCGCGACCCCGCGGTATACTCAGCCCACGCGCGACTAGTGATGGTTGTGTGGCAACAGAGCGGCTGTACAGTGTACAAGAGTACTGTGGATGCTTATGATCGAATGGTTCTATCGTTTCTTAGTGTCCTTTGTTCTGTTATCAGTTTGTATGCTTCCTGTTGGAAACCTACCCCCGTCATTTAGAACGTAAAGCATAGTTGATCAAAAAATGATGTATATCGACAGATACTAAGTAGCTAGTTACGATCGACCACCAGTGCCTTCGCAGCTCACCACATATCTGATGGGGACTCCGCCTTAGCAATCGGCATGTTTGTAGACTTGTTTATTATACAGAGAGTGGAGTGAACTATTCTGTACTGTTGTTTCAAGCGCCAGGCCCGACGGCTGGCAAAGGCGCCACGCAAGCCAACACACAGACTCTGGGGAGGTAAGTTGTTTTGTTTGCGCTACCAGGAACTGGATGGAAGATAGGAAGCCAACCGATGACTTGGTCAAGAGGAAAGAAGTCTCTCACTTCGAACTTGGCCCCGGTTTGCGCCTCCCGGATTGGGATCTCTAAGAGGACAAACCGGGTTGGTTGGAGACACTTGTTGATATGGCCAGGAGTAGATGATCTCAGTGGCGTGGGTGGTGAGTACATTTTCACATCTCTCACACGCATGGCTTCGTTCTCCAACCGGTCTCATCCCGATAGATAATGGAAAGCAAGGCATAATATTACTTGCCTGTAATTCGTATTATTTTTTCGTTTGTCTAACTGAATTACACTGCATCATACAACGGCTGATGAGTTTCTCACCTATGGCGAATGTGTCGAGTGATGACGATGACGAGTTGGTTTCAAAACGCGCGCTAACAGATTAAACGTATAAGAAAAAATGTCTCTCGGAGGAAGTTCACTACTGTGAATCATATCAGGCGGCTTACTTGTTAATGGGATCAAACGAGCGTTCTATGATCGGCAAGTCACCATACGCGTGTGAAAACCGCTTCGATGGAGGCGGATACGATTCAGCACGTCGAACGACCATTTGTGTATCGTAGAGAAGAAAACCCGAGAAGAGAATTAGCCCACCGTACAGGCTTATGGCAGCCATTCCAGAGCCCAAACGGCTTACCGGAGAGAGAAACATGGAGCCTGTGTGAAACAATGAGAAAAGGCAAAATATGGTCTGTAATGGGAGGAACTGTGACGAAGAAAAACCACTGAGTCAGAAGTGGAAGTCGAATGTGTTGTTGGCACATTAGCCGTTTCAAAACAAGGTAAATATGCCACTGCAATTGGAATAGAGCAGTGATAAAAATAGGTGCATGTGTGTAAGAATCAAGAACCAGTTACAATGTGAGAGGTAGGCTCAGCTCCGGATGATTGCATTAGCGCTCTTGTGGATTGGAGGACTTTGTGAGGTGAATGGTGTTGTGCGAGTTACTTTGAAACATAACCATTACAAGGAGATCACTTCGGTTTCACATCAATGTGAGACACTAAAAAGTGAGTCAGTCGGGTTATCTCGTCATGCAAACGACCACGTAGGTACTGCACACTATCAAAAACTAACGTTCAGTTGATTGGTTCATTCATGATTGCAGTGTTGAAAACGATCGGGGAAATAAATTGCTTTCGTCTTCCTGCAGTAACCAACGATACTTAATTACACTACCGGATGGACACGAAGTCCCTGGTCATTGTTCATAACTGATGTTTTTTGCAATACCATTTATTAGTTAATATTTGCACATTTATCATAATATTTATAGCATATATGTACGATACTTCTGCCTTTCTATTTACAGGCATACATTCGAAAAATGACCGACACAAGTCCCTACACCATTGAAGGAAGACTCATAGCCGCTGTTTGGGTACATGATCGACCAAATTCCAGGGGCGTTTCAAGAAGCCTGCACCAAAAAAGACACATTATTGGAATGGGAGAAGAAAACATCTGCATCTGGATCTGTGCTGAATGCCCTTCGTTCCGGACGCCCTGTCTCCCGAATGGAGCACGTGGAAATCACTCAGCAGTCAGTTTACAATTCTCTAAAAACAATCGATTCGTAAGAGGTCTGCTGAGTTGCATATTCCCCTCTCCACACTCCAAAAGGTACTCAAAACTGGCCTAGGTATGTCAGCATTCAGGCCAATGCACGTCAGTAAACTGTCTGGTATTGATCGGCAGAATCGAATGGAAGCGTGTCAACACCTTCTCCAGGAGGTCCCCACAAAAATCAGTCGTCACGATGTCTTCTTTGGTGATAAAAGTGCTGTCTATCTCAGCTCACGATCACGGAATGTTTACAGTTGGAGCAAGATTAACCCATACAATGCCGAAGAAATCGCCCACAACCCACCGCACGTCATGATGCGGGCGGCAATGTCAGCCACTAAAATCATTAGGTTATTTGTTTTGAAAACAAAGTGAATTATTAGTCCACCTACCGAGAAATGTTGCAAACCCGGTTCATTCCACAATGGGTTTCAACTGGAATCATGCATGTAGCCATTCTGCAGGAAGGATGACGCCAATCCATATATATATATATATATATATATATATATATATATATATATATCGAATGAATTCGACGACGATACTCATACAGCTTTCGTACGACCAACTTAATACAGGGAAGTGGTACGCGGACAAACCGAAAGTAAAATTTTCAGGATATGAACAAGGTGAGTTCATCAAAAACTAATGTTGAATTCAGGTGCTGGGAATCAAAGACGGAGTTGATCGGTGGGAATTCCGTGGGCTGATCAAGAGGGCGGCTGTCCAGGTGCAGAAGAAGGCACTATTGCACACGCAGGAGAAGCGCGATCCGTCCGCTCCCATTCGATTTACTAATCCAGGCGACGGATGTGGTACGTTTGCCTGCGAGATGAGTACTCTTTCAGGGGTTTGATGTCGATTGAGCTCCCCGGTGCGGCTGCGCTTGATGTGTATGTTGGCAAGGTGCCTACCTGTCTATTACCCACTACCTCGTCCATACTGGCTTCAGCAGACAGTTGGTCGTTGCTGGAGGGGACAGGGTGCACCGTCCTCGTGACGGTGATAAATTCGAAAAGTGGTTCCATCCTGTGTTGAACCGGGATACGGTCCAGCCACTGCCTTGTGTACATCTGGTGAGCATGATTCCCAATTAGGCAGAAATGCTTCTGTTCTATTTGTTGTAGGAGTGTGGGTCGGCTCCATTGATGAAACGTGGCTTCCACCCGCATGTCTCCCGATCTTACTCCTTCGGGTTTACACCGGATATGGGAAGTGTGAGTGGAACTGTTGGTGGTGCAGCACAACCTACCCATTGATATATTATTAGATATTTATTCGCAAGTCTGTAAGCAGACAAATCTGCCATTCGGACCATGGTGGTAGGAAAAGGAGAATATAATGTCCAACGAGCAGAGAGAGAGTAAAAGGTTAGAAATTTATTTCAGTTTCACACACGCTGTTTTGAGTTTTTGTTTTGTTCAACGTTAAATATCACTAGAAGAGAAGACAGAAAAGCACTGACGCCACTGACTTCTATTGCGGGCCATATCCTCCAAGACTTCTAACCATTGGGAATCCGCTTCACGTGGTCTCCAGCCTGGGAGAGGCAAGGAGCCAACTGACGCTAGACACGAAGTTAGAATCTTCGTACACCTTTTCCAGGTCATTGGTTGTTCGCCGCGGCTCTTTTTCCATTCGCGTCCAGGAAGTGCAAATAATGCGCGACCTGAAAGGCGGTGGGGCGGTATGCGCAGTACGTGACTGAGCCAACACAATTGGTGCCGGATGATTATGCTCTGGAGACAAGGACTGTCCGCTCCCATGACTCTGCTTCTAACTTCCGCGTTGCTCACATGGTACTGCCACCATACGCATGCAGCGATTGTCGAAAGTAGACAGTCGTCTGAAATCTACCGATCGAACAGGCTAGGTCTCGCAGCCGTACAGTAGGACATCACGAACTGTGGCATTGTGCACTCAGCCTTTGAGTTTGAGACTGACATCGCAACGACGACACAAGTGTCTCATGTTAGTAAATGCAAGGCGAGATTTGGCAATTGGTTGTGAAATGTTATCGCCAATACCACCACCAGCCGTGATGCAACTCCTGAGGTAAGTAAAGCTGTTAACGAGCTCTAAGCTGACACGCGAAATGGTGAGCGTAGGCGCAGGAGCCTGCCAATGATGGAGCAAAATACAGACCATACTTAGATGCCTGTATCGCTAAGCGGTTCAGCTTGCGAGTCGTGCCGCAGCAAAGTGATGTCATCAGCATAGTCCAGCTCAACAACTCTGCCCCCGAGTGGAAGCTCAACGCCGCAACTCTGGGCATCTTTCAGTGCGCGACGCAGGACCTCTTCGATGGTAAAGTTGAACAGGAATGGAGAGATAGGACAACCTTGGCGCACTCCACTGGTAACAGGAAACGAAGAAGAAAGCCTTCCATAAGCTTTGCCAGAGGTGTGACTATGCAGCTCATTCAACAGTATGACAAACTTGTCAGGAACACCGTTCCCTAGCAGATAGTTCCACAGGGACGACCTATCTACTGACTCAAAAGCGGCTCGGATATCCAAAAACACCACCATTGTTGGTCTTCGGTGAACATGACGATGTTCGAGAGTTTGACGCAATTTGGTCAATGCAACCACGGTCAGAACGAAATCCAGCCTGTTCCTCACGACACAAACTCTCGTGGGTAACTGAGAGCCTACGCAGCAGAATGGACACAAAGAGCTTGGACGCGACTGAGATGAGTGAGATTCCTCGGTAGTTTGTGCATTCACTACGAGAGCACTTCTTGTGGATCGGAACCACAACAGATTCTTCCCATGATTTAGGAACTTTCTTACCGCTCCATACCTTTGTGAAGTGATAGTATTTCGGTGACAACTAAGTTCCCCCTATGTTTGAATAAGGCCGGAGGAAGACTGGCAAGGCCAGGAGCTTGGTGGCGTTTCAGGGTCTCGATTTCTCTCCGTATTTCTGCTTTAGTGGGAGGATCTATGCAGACTGACCAAGAATCACATGATGGCACTTGATGTGTAACCGGAGGTTGTGTTGGGCAATAAAACTGGAGCAAAGTGCTCTGGCTAGCGATCCAGACGTCTGCGTACGTTGGTAATCTTTGTACCGTCTGATTCACAGATGACCTGAACTTTGCGTCCGGTGGATCTGATGAGATTAAACAACTTGCGGCTGTTACCTGCAGATGCAGCAACTTCCATTTTCTTGGCCTGTTCAGACTACCAGGATTCACGGTCACGGCAAGGACTCGCTTTCAGCTATCTGGAAATAGAACGGCGGAGCTCAGCCGATAGTCGAGAAGTTCCACGGAGGTGACTGAGATCCCACTTTTATTGGTGCAACGAACAAGACCGCAACTAGATAAACCCGCTGAAAACATAATCTGTTGCACTCGCGACCAATGTTGGTCAACATCCCGAGGAGGCGAAAAAGTGAGGTTCTCAGGAAACTGCTTTTGATATTCCAATTGCACGGTGGGGTCTTCCAGCTTACCACAGTTAAGTCGAGTTTGTCTAGTCCTAGGCGAGCCACCGAAACGCATACAAACGGACGCACGTACTAGCGCATGATCAGTTTCCACGCATGTTAACGAATAGGATCTGCAGTTCCGAATACTGCCACGCCAGCGATGACTTATGGCGATGTGGTCAATCTGTGACCAAGGTCGAGGGGATGATGGAGCATGCGAGGTAGCGTAATGACCCCTAGGGTGGCGAAAGCTCGTGTTGGAAAGGTAAAGTTGGTGGATGGCACACAAACTTAGTTTTTCTCCATTATCTGAGCGAAAGTCGTCGTGTCCATGCAGGCCTCCAAGATGGCGTTTGCTTGGTAACAAACGACCAATACGAGTTGAAATCCCCCGCCTTAATAATGATGTCGGTTTCGAGGGCTCCTAAGAGCAAATCATGAAGGTTCTGATAGATTTGGTCCACGGCGGTATCCGCGTTACAGTCAGTGGGAGCATAGGCAGAGATTACTACAACAGTACGTTTGTCTTCTGGACGTCTGCTAATCCTGCACGAGCCATGGAGCCTGACAGCACAAAGTCGACTGTTGATCAGAATCCATTCGAGAAGGGCGGCTTCGGTTCTGGCACTAACGGCGACCCCAACACCAG